GCTTTTTAATATCTTGTCCATAAACACGTTAAAGAGTTTCTGAACTGAAGCTTATCCTCCTGCGTTTATATCTTTTGTCATTTCATGTTTCGCTGTTATTCTTGCTTTATTGCGACTGTTAAGTTCCCTAATTATTGCTATCTATTTTATTGATCTTTTTCTGCGTAATGATTTGGATTACGTCATTTAGTTGAACTCTAACAAACGCTTTTGTGAGATCCATAAAATATAAAAAAAGGAGTTTGTTTTTTACACTCTCGTTGATTATTCATAACTGGTACCTTGACAATATTTTGTTTAGATTTTTGGTTTTTTTTAGGTATTGTATTTTCCATTTCACACGGTATAATAACATTTATTAATGCAATCCAATAAGTACTGTTGGAAGAAAAATAAATAAAATACGTCTCTGTTACTATTTGGAAAAGTGACTTTGGCAAAACAAACACAATTCCGCAATGATAAATGCACATTCCGTTTCTAAACGTAGTCATTATCCGATGTGTGCTCAGCATACTTAAGACATTACATAAGAAAGAAATCACTGAATTCAAGATTGTTTCATGGATTTAACGCAGTTACAAAATTGATAATAATCCCAATTTTTATTCATTTTGTGTCTTTAGAATTTCATCTGACATTGAACTTTCAGATTTAGAACAGGTCTGTGAAATTTTTTGTTCTTGGAATATAAATATGTGATTTAGGTGGCAGTTATTAAGGTTAAACAATAAAAGAAAACTGTTTGGGATTTTATTTTTGTTTTGTTTCTTTTAATATATAATAACGGATTGATTACGGCAGTCGCTGCTTCTACGACCTGAATTTCCATTTTTTTCTTCATCATATACAGTTGCCTCTTCTAAGTCTCTTGCCGCCATTGCTTCATCAATATCGTTGCGCCAATTTCTCCGTGGTCGTCCTCTCTTTCTTCTTTCAGGAGGGATCCATTCCAGTACTCTTCTTCTTCTGGTTCCTATCCGTTTCGGATGTTGGAAATCATACTGGCAATCATAACCTTGCTCGCTGCGGCTCGAAACAGCTCCGTTGAGGTTTTCTTAAACCATGTTCTTAAATTCCGCAGCCATGATATTCTCCTTCTACCGGCTCTTCATCACTTTATTTCCTGTAAATTGCTCCACTGTTCGTTAATAATAGTTCCCAGGTAACAATACTGTTTTACTCGCTCTATCTGCGACCCATTAATATATAGATGAGCCCCGTTTATATTCTCCTTGCTGATAATCATTTGTTTCGTTTTGTGTGTATTAATGTTTAGTCCGTACTGTTGACTGTACTCGCTTATTCTGTCCATTAGCCTCTGAAGTCCCTCTAAACTATCTGCTATCACCATGGTGTCGTCGGCATATCTAACATTGTTTACTCTTTCACCATTTAGAAGGATGCCTTCGTCTATTCCGTAAAGAGCCTCGTTAAAAATTTTCTCTGAGTACATATTAAATATCAACAGCGATAGGATACATCCCTGTCTAACTCCACGTAGTATTTTTATGTGATCTGTTTCTTCTCCGTTAATTTTCATGTATGCGGTCTGATTCCAGTAGAGTTCTGAAATTATTCTGAGGTCTTTGTCATCTAGGTCTGCCTCTTTTAAAATGTTTATCATCTTTTGATGTTGAACTCTGTCAAATGCCTTTTCATAGTCGATCAAGCACGTGTATACGTCGCAGTTAACGTCCCTGCATCTTTGAATCAGCACCTGTACTCCGAAAAGTGCCTCTCTGGTACCCACTGCGTTAATGAAGCCGAACTGTCTGTCCAATATTTGTTCCTCGCACTTCTTATAAATTCTTCCATAGATGACTCTAAGAAACAGTTTCAACATTTGGCTCATTAGGCTGATTGTTCGATATTCTTCGCACTTTTTAGCCCCCTGTTTTTTAGGTATCGCTATGAATTCTGATTCTAGCCATTTATCAGGGATGATTCCTGTATTGTATATTTTATGGAAGACAGCCGTGATCCAAATTATTCCTTCTTCCTCCAAGAGTTTTAAAAAATTCAGCTTCGATATTATCAGGCCCTACAGCTTTCCTGGTTTTCATCCGTTTTATTGCTTCTTCTACCTCGGATTTAAGTATGTCCGGGCCGTCATCCTCTGTGAAAATAGATGCCTATAAACCGTTCTTTGATCTTGAAAAAGTGTCTCCAAATATATTCTCCATTTGTCTTTCATCTCTTGGGTGTCAATGATTAATTTTCCATTGGTGTCTATGAGTTTCATTTGTGTTCGCTTTTTAAAAGTACCCGTTATTTCTTTGAGCTTTTTGTGTACATTAAAATTGTCATGATTGGCTTGTAGTCTTTCTATTTCTGTACATTTCTCTACAGCTTCTTTTTCTTTAGCTTCTCTTATTTTTCTTCTGATGTAAGCCTGCATTTTTTTATACTCATCTTTATTTCCTTTAATTAACCTTATGCGTTCCATTAAGTGAAGGACTTCTGGAGTCATCCAAGATTTCTTCTTTGTTTTTTTGTTTTGTTTTAGCAGATCTTGTTTAGTTTTCTTAATTATTTCTTCGAATTGATTGATTTCTCGTTGGATCTTATTTTCTTCTTTTAGTTGTTTAACTTGGTTGTTAATATATTCGCCCACTTGCTTTTTAACTTCCGGATGTTGCAGGGCTGTCATGTCGTAGTTAGGTCTAGATTTTTTCTTTATCTCTAGGCCATCTGTACTCTGGCATTCTTTTAACATGTCCGAACCATATTAATTGCTTTCTTTCTACGTTATCATTGGTATTTCGCTCTTCAGTAAAACAGAATATTCCATGTATAAATGATAATTTTATTGTCATCGCCCATGACGTCAAAGACGTCAAATTTCAAAACTAATCGGTCGCAAATATGCTTAATTTATATGACTCCTTATACCGGAGGTAAAACAACTGCATAAATTACCTAAACAATTACCTATGAACATATACTTCTCATTTGACTTTGTAAATTAACGTAATAGACCAAGTACTGCTTCAAGCTGTCTGTCATCAAAAAGTCATTAAATTGTTTGCGTGTCTGCTGACAATGGATGCATGTAATTATTTTCTCGAGGAATTAACTTTAATGTTGGAGATTATGAAGTATAAAATTAGCATTTTAAAAATACAATATACCATGTTACTGTTCTCCGGTATGCCATGATTTTCAATAATTCGTTTTCTTAGTTCTTATTTAGGGAAATCTTAATATTATAGATTATAAATTTATATTTTGAGTGTTTATTATATGACTAGAGTGCTCTTGTTTCCTAGTTAACGATTGTTTCATTTTTTTTTTGTTTGAAACATTTTTTTGTATTAACAAAAACAAATTTAGCGACATTTTTCAAAAGTATCTCCTGAGGAAAGAAGAAAAATCGTTTATTTAGAAGTCGAAAGAAAATGTAAAAAAGTATTTTTGAAGTTTGTATATTTTTTTAGGCAATTCCTAGCTGAGCGCTTTCGGCTTTACAAAGCCATCATCAGAGCTATGGTCAATTTTTTAAATACCACTACAAAGGAGAGATCTCATTTCCTTATATTTCAAAATTATGATTTTTGTTGAAATTCTTAAAACATATAAAAAAAAACATATAAAAAGCCGACACTGGACTTCACAAACACGTTAAAAAAATTGAAAAATTTTTTTGTCATGGTACGGGTGTAAGAACCCGACCATTGTTTGATCTGAGGAGGTAGGCAGAATAGTTTGATGACTATTAGTAATTCCAAACATTAAATAATTTTGTAAGAATTTAAAAAACAATCTCTATTTCCTATATATGCCATTTGTCAACTGTCACTTTTGAAAAATCGTTTAAAAGGACCGACATTTGATTTCATTAGTTTTATTCTGCCTACCTCCTCAGATCAAACAATGGTCGGGTTCTTACACCCGTACCATGACAAAAAATTTTTTCAATTTTTTTTTAACGTGTTTGTGAAGTCCAGTGTCGGCTTTTTATATATGTTTTTTTTATATGTTTTAAGAATTTCAACAAAAATCATAATTTTGAAATATAAGGAAATGAGATCTCTCCTTTGTAGTGGTATTTAAAAAATTGACGTAAGTTAAAATTATAATCTTTACCAATTAGTACTTATAAGAACATTTTATTGTAGCATAGCTCTGATGATGACTTTGTAAAGCCGAAAGCGCTCAGCTAGGAATTGCCTAAAAAAATATACACACTTCAAAAATACTTTTTTACATTTTCATTCGACTTGTCATAAGTGTGTACAAAAAAATATCAGTCTTTTAAATGCATATTATTTTATAGGGTGAGTAACCGTGTAAATATTAGTAATTTATTTCACAGTACAGTAATTCATTGGACAGTATTTAATTGAAAACATATTGGAAAAAGAAAGATACTCTTTTTGCTAATGCAATTTTTTATACTTTAATGGGCCGGAACATATTTATGGTCATACTGCGTTGTTTGCATTTTAGTAAAAATCTAGAAGAGAAGAGAACAAGTAAAAAAAAAGCTATTCTGCCTACCTCCTCAGATCAAACAATGGTCGGGTTCTTACTCGAACCATGACAAAAAATTTTTTCAATTTTTTTAACGTGTTTGTGAAGTCCAGTGTCGGCTTTTTATATGTTTTTTTATATGTTTTAAGAATTTCAACAAAAATCATAATTTTGAAATATAAGGAAATGAGATCTCTCCTTTGTAGTGGTATTTAAAAAATTGACCATAGCTCTGATGATGGCTTTGTAAAGCCGAAAGCGCTCAGCTAGGAATTGCCTAAAAAAATATACACGCTTCAAAAATACTTTTTAACATTTTCTTTCGACTTGTCATAAGTGTGTACAAAAAAATATCAGTCTTTTAATTGTTTATTTAGAAGCAAACATATGAGACTAATATCCTTTATAATTACGTAGTAAAATTAAAATCAAAAATATCGAATGAAAAAATTGTTTCAGTAAAATATATTACATTATTAAAATTAATTAAAGATTTTTTTATAAAACTTGATAAACAGTCTTACCTGCAACCAATCAACTATTCTCTTGGCAAAGGAGGGGGTAAATTTGGTTGTTTGGGATATCGATAAACCATCCATGTCGAAAATGACCACTGCTCCGCAGACTTGACTTTCTGGTTCCAACATAGCGGCTTCAAGGAACAATACACAACCTTTGAATACTTCATCTAAAGATACCTTATCGGTTTTCCATTTCTCTGAAAGAAGTAAATAGATTTTATAGTTTTAGGCCTCTATAAAATTTTTTTTTAGGTTTCAAATAATCCTACCAATAATCTTTTCAACAATGTAATAATGAAAACAAATTTAGCTTAGATGTTAAAAAACAAATGAATAAAACAGAAAAGATACAGTTTACTAAAAAATCATTAACGACAACAATAGATGCAGCACTATGAGAGTCTGTAATATATTCGTAACTTAAATCAGCAAAGGAATAGGCTTAAATACCAAAAAAGAGATCTTAGTACCTATAGATACAACAGGTTTAAAGAAAGAGCTCTGTTTTTTGTTAACCCAATAAAAAAAGATCTTTGTTTAATATAATGGCCCAAAACCTAGCTTATGCAGTTGATATAGGGAATCCTAAACGAACATTACCATACTGGGAAGAGTTCTGTGTAGCTCTCAAACGCAAGTTCATGCCTACGTCAAGGAACGAAGCAGAAGCACAAGAACAAGAATTCACCATAAATGGATACAGGTACGAGAGGCTAATAAGTTTTATATATCTGGGTTCAGCAGTAACCGAAACCAATTCTGCGACGCTGGAGAATAAAGCCAAGTTAACAGAAGCTTTTTCCATTTTTTACCAGCAAGGATAAAGAAGCCCTCAGAAAATGGGAGAGAGAAATCTTCAGAAAAATTCATACACTAGTTAGAGACAACGAAGCCTGAGGGTTAAGAAGAAACCAGAATCTGCAGCTGCAGTTTTAAAAATCAGACTTGGTGACTAAACTAAAGAAAGGGGGCGGAAAGGATTAGCCGGTCGTGTACAGGGGGAAACGAACGATCAAGAAAGTATTTCCGGATAGCTTGGAAGGAAGAGGGATTAGAAGAGGACACTGACTCAGATGAATGAAAGAGCTATTAGGAATCTGTAAGTAGCGGTCGCCAGCCTACCACAGAAAAGAGTGGGAGGAGGACGAGAAAAGATAACTTAAGGTCTACTAATAAAAATATTTTCATTATAAATCAAATTATCAAAGAAGAAAGGTGATTTTACCAGAATTGACCGTTTTTATATAGGTTTGTTGTCGTATTCGGTACAATTTGCAAAATTTTTAAATACTGTTAATTAAAAAAAAACTGCACAGTTATTTCTTAATAAGGGAGCAATTAATGTAACCTAGTTTTAATAAAATGTTTGGAAAATCCCAGTTTTGTGTAAAAATATTTTACTCTGATTATTTTTAATCTAGTAACAATGTTATTGAAACAATCGATTATTTCTACAGTATACTGATAAATGTGATATTTATTCTGTTGATTTATTACATTTAATGCTTAATTTGATTGTATTTAATTAATTATCTTATCAAACTTGTTTTATACAATATGATTGCATGCAATTATGCAATTAATGGCTATTTTAGTTAATGAATTGAACTTATGTTGCACCTTGTGACAATTTTACTACTTTTTTCTAAATAAGTATGCAATTAGATTAAATAGAACGATGGTCAAGTGTTTTGTTTTTGTTAAAATTGTGATTTAAACGGTGCCACGCTGATATTGATATATCAATTTTAATATCAATCTATATATAACGGAGAGACACTTACCAAAACCAAAATAGATACTATTATATAAATCTTTCGTAATCGGATTACCTCATTTTTGTGATTTTAGGTACATAGAGATACATATCTACTCAGATAAATTTTATGAAAACAGACGAAACATGTATATATATATACTGGGATGCAAAATTATCCGGACACTCAGATTTTTCCTAAAAACTGGTGTTTTTCAATAGAAAAACAAATTAAAAAAATTTGAAAATCTGCAAAGAAACAAAATTTTCTTAAAATATAAACATTTTTTATGGAAAACGATATTTAGTAGAGTGTATTACCTCCACCAGCCCTAATTACGGCTTTCATTCGATCAGACATACTTCGGATTAAGGCAGCAAAGTCTGCTTGAGGTATTTGCTCCCATTTGTCATGAACTGCTTGCTACAAATCATTCATGGTTTCAAACTCACCATGGTTACGTCGAATACGTCGTCCGAGAATATCCCATGCATGCTCTATTGGATTTAAGTCTGCACTTCTGGGAGGCCATGGTAATAAACGAATTCCAGCTTTATCCAAGTAACCCCCTGTTATTCTTGCTATGTGCGGAAGAGCATTATCTTGCATTAGATGAAAGTTTTCTCCATCAAATCGATCAAATAGCACTACATGATCTTTCAAACATTGCTGAATATATACCGTTAAGAGTTCAAATTGCCTCCTCGAATTGTAACAAGTTCTGTATGAACCTCTAGGGAAATTCCTGCCCATTAACCAAATTGAACTCTAGGAGTAAAACAACATTGCTGATGACGTTCACCAGCTCTTTTCCATATTCTAGGCAGCTCGTCTGATGAGTATTTAAAGGCATAAAATACAATTCAAACAAATTAAGCAGGTTTTGATCTAAACACCAACAAAAACCAAAAAAATCTGAGTGTCCGGCTAATTTTGCACCCCAGTATAGAATTAGTTCCAAAGGCCCATGCGACCGAAAAGTACGCAGAGAAAAGGAGAAAGAGGTGCTAGCCAAGAGGTAAATCCGACGCTCGAGCGCCTTGGTAGACGGCAGCTGTTGCGTGTTGTTGTTCTCTTCCCCTCTATTTTTCGCGAATATTTTCTCCTTAGTAGGAGAAGAGCAGGAGAGCGTCTTGCCTAGTATACGTCAGTATACGTTGAATTTTTATTAGTTATGGTTTCCTTCAGACCTTGCACGTGTTGGTCAATTTTTCGTTCATGTGTACTCAAAATTTATCATGAACAGAAAAAATTACAAGGAGTACAGCATAGATCGAAAGTCAGGAGCTTTTATAGTAATGGTTATGAAAATAAAATAAAAAATGGTTATGAAATTAACAGAAGATTAGTTTATGCAATGCGCTTGATGGGAGTTGGTTTTATCAGCTTATTAAATTTTTTGGACTGATTGATAGTATCAGAAATTGTCAGTAAAAGAATAAAAAAAAAAGGATTACCCGAAGACAGGAATACTGAAAATTTACAGATTTACCTGGAATTGTTAGTTTAATCGAACAAACTTGTAGATGTGGTAGTAAAATCAAAAAATTTTCAAGTATGCAGTAATTATTTTAAAAAAGTTTTCCGAAAATATCCTAAGGTTTGATGCTTGGTTTACCGAGCATTGTAAAGTATCAAATTGTACAGGAGATCATGATAATAGTAGTGCTGGTCTTATAGAAGTTGAAGAAGTAGAGGAGATGTTTCTGAGGTGTATGGAGCAATACGGTGTTTTTACAAAAGTAAAAATTTCAAGCAGCTCGAACAAACTGAACGGGGAGGGTCACAAAGTAAAGAAAAAAGCATGCGTTTTACACGTAGGTAAAATCACAAGAAAGAAGCGGCATTAGAAAGAGGTGGAGAAGTTCCCAAAAGGAACTAAAAAATACGATTGAATTCAGTGAAGCGTAATTGCCAAAATTATCTGACTATTTCAAAAACGCTGTGCTTGCTTACCCCGATTTTGTAGCAAACATGAAGAAAGCAATTCTGGTCTCATTTTATAACAAGTGTTTCACCGACGTTAAGCCGCAACACGAATACTGTCCAGCCGGAGAAGATTCATGGTGCTGTTATCAAGAGGCAGTAGCTACAAATCAATTACGTGAGTTCAAACGTCAAGAAATAGATAGAAATAGAATAGAAAAAAAAGAAGAAGAAAAAGTTCAAACATCATACCGTTTTTAATCATAAAATTCAGAATCTTTTAGAACCAATATATGAAGAATGAAATTCTTAAAACAATAATGAAAGTTAGTTATAATTCGTGTGTATGAAACATAGCTCCTACACACAGGATTCTTTTCAAACCAAACATAGGAATTGCTGTTTGAATTTTTAATGAAGGACTTTTACGGCTAAGATAATCAAGGACCATATACGAAGCTGGAATGGATATGTGAGTTAAATTCACCTTTTTTATGATTGTTTAGGAATAAAAACTTTTTCAAATAAGTATCATTCGTATTTCGAAACTATTGCACTTATCAACAAAAGCCAAACTGTATTTTACTCTTAGGTGTCTCTCTATGGTCCGTACCACAACCAAAAATATTCATTGGTAACAAAGTAACAAACAGCGTATTATTGATTTATCATGACTAAACGGTACGATACATAAACAGTACCGACAATATGAGATGATAGATTAATACTGATGGCACTTTTGTTTCTCCAATGCTGAGTATGCGTGCACCATGTAGAACAGATCTGCTCATATCAAATAAGTAAATATGGTGCCAAAAAAACATTTAACAAAGCTTTCTTGAAACACTGCAGGATGAACCGGCCCAAAATGTCTTTCTTTCTCAGATTTGTTGAACTGGACAAATGGAGAAGGAATTTAAAAGTAACGGAAAGTGAAACAGAGACAAAAATAAGAAACAAATGGGAGCTATCGACTGGTAAAACAAGACTTAAACATCCTATAATGTAATAATTTGATGATATTAAAAAAGTGGTTAGAAAAAACTGGATTACAGAGGAATAGAACATAGATATGCATACGTATATTTGATTTGATAAAACATATATACAACAACGCAACAGCATCTGTTAAACTCCATGACTTTACCGATAAATATAGAATTGAGCGAGGAATTAGACAGGGCGACACCATCTCCCCCAACTATTCACTGCAACTCTGGAATATGCCTTTAAAAAACTAGATTGGGCTAAAAGGGGAATAAATATTGATGGTGAATACTTAAGCAACTTGCGCTTTGCAGATGATATTGTCATTATACCCGAGAGTTTAAATGAAGCTCACAAAATAATGGAAGAACTAAGACAGGCAATAGAACAAATAGGCCTGAACATAAACTTTGAAAAAACAAAATACATGACCAATTTAGTTCCAAGTGATGTTATGAGGATAGATGGGAACGAAGTAAATCAGATCTTTAGCTATATCTATTTAGGACATGAAATTAGAATAGGAAAAGATAATCAAACTTGTGAGATCCAGCGTCGCATAAGCTTGGGATGGGCAGCATTTGGCAAGATGCGAGATATTCTAAAAGGAACGCTACCGATTTGCTTGAAGAAAAAGGTTAACAACCAATGCATACTGCCAGTAATAACATATGGTTCCGAAACAATAACTTTAACCAAACATTCTGCAAATAAATTGAGAGTAACCCAAAGAAAAATGGAAAGAGCAATGTTGGGAATAACTAGAAGAGATATGGTACCAAATAGGATAGTAAGAGAGAGGACTAAAGTGGTAGATGTCATAGAAAAAATTGCACAAGCCAAATGGTGATGGGCTGGACATATAGCACGTTTAAATGATAATAGGTGGACCAAAAGACTCATAGAATGGAGACCTAGAGAAGACAAAAGACACCGAGGCAGACCACCAAAAAGATGGATGGATGACTTGAGAAAAACAATCGGACATTGGATACAGTAGGCGCAAGATAGAGAACAGTGGAAGAACATGGAGGAGACCTATATCCAACAGTGGATGCAAGAGGTTGAGGAATGATGATGATGATGATGATGATGATGATGATGCATACGTCATTTAAAAACATATCATGTTGACAGAAAATTTTGGATAAATAAACAGTGGATGTATCAAGTCACTCTAAGCCATAAATCACTCTAACCTAACAGCAACTTTAAAATTACAAATTATATCTTACACTTAAATATAAATAACATAAAATAAAAAACACTTACTTCCTAATTCAATGATTAAAATTCTTCTGCCTAACTGATCTCTGTTTGGTTGTACTGTTAGAATATTTTGTTCAAAAATATTCTTTTCTTTACTGGGCATCAATCCATCGTATACATTGGCGTGTGTAATTTTAAATTTGTAATATCTCTTAATCTGTAACAGAAAGAGAAAACTGATGTAGAGAAATTTATTTAATTGTTTTCACAACTTTTTACATTACATATTGTATGAGCAATAAATACACTGTTAAGAATAATATATACCCCAGTCGTCAGAGACGTTAACCTCTAAAAATCATAGGAACGAGCTGAATTTTAGTGAGAATGTCCATTTTGGGATCCCAAAATATATCCAACAAGAACTTTTGTGCAAAATAAACCGTTCTCTTAAAGTGGCTTCCCACGATCGGCGATTCTACAGATCATCGCGGATAGCCGATCAGCACGGACGACAACGCACCGCAGACAGAGCTCTTCCTACGGTCCGTGACAGTCTGTGTAGGTCCGTGACAGTAATGTTTGATTATATCATAAAAAGGCCACTCAGGCTTGTAAACATCATTGCCTTCTGTATGTCGACATTCAATTACCTCTCTTTTTTTTTAATTCTTTAATCGAAATAGTACTATTCTTCAATTGATTTTTTATTCGGATCCATATATCGTATGCATCGTTCCGGTTCTTATGCTCTGACGCCGTGGAATTCCATAAACTTGTTTCATTTTGATACAAATTTAAAAAATCAAAAATAACTTTGTTCATTCCATTTTTTAGCAAAAAAACTGCAAAACAACTTTGACAACACTACTAACAACTACTCGTGTCAGTGATTGAAAAACTTCTGACTTGCACTTGTCGTCTGTTAAAACACAGACGCGCTAGGATCGCGTCGCACGAGCATGTACCGCACCTTTGATGTTACCGACTCTAGATGGATAGGACGGACCAGCACAGACGTGCCTGTGCTACCACGGACGAGACCTTTCCCACGGTGCGAGGTGCGGGCTGGTCCGCTTACGTCCGCAATATCGCCGACCGTGGGAAGCCGCTATTCGAAACAACGCTTGAAGCGACCGATAATTTTGAATGTCAGTTAGGCACGCAAAATCAACTCGACGGTAAAAATTCGATATCTTTTGATCAGATTGTCCTATCGACAAATATCGAGTTGCGTTTTAAAGGTGAGGAGTGCAGCTTTTGTCTGCAATTTTTTTATTTTAATGCAAATGAAGTCAGTTTTTATAAATGTGTCATAAATACACGATGTGCGATTTTTCCATTTTTTATGATTCTCACGAGATCAATAAAGTGTTTCACTTTCCTTGACTATGGATTTTCATTGTTAGAACCTAATCTCCAAAATATATAGCATGAAATGTCGGTTTTGGGTTTTAGCAGCAAATGTGAGGCATTTGAACTATGCCTAAAACGCTGAATTTTCAAAAAACTTTCACATTACAAACGATCTAAACCAACTAAAACTGCTTCTTTTTATTTATTTAATTTTTAATAATTAATTTAATTAAAGCATCCTTAATTGAAAACATGTTTTACAATAAAAGTAGCTCCCTTAATAATTATGAAAATTATAACTTTCTAATAGATTGCAGTAATGATGCTGCTATTAAATCTATTCCTCAATTCAAAATTTTTAAATTCAAAAATCGATCCCCTCCGCCATGGTGGGACCCAGAATGTGATCTGATAATTAATAACAGACTTTATAACAGATACTTTATTAGACGACTTCTTTAATACAGTATCTCCTCCATGGGTTCAACATTCACCTACACAACCTACACAAAGTCATTATTCACATAATCACTTTCTGTTAAAACCTTTTTCTAAAACTGAATGAGAGTTTGCCCTTAAAAACCACATTAATACTTCTCCTGGAATCGATCATGTAAAATACCCATGTTAATCAACCTACCAAAGGTTGCAAAAAACCATCTTTTATCTTAGATTATATTATCCATATTAACATAGTTATCGATTCCTTCAAAAATGTCTTAGTCGTTCCTATCCTTAAACCTGGAAGGGATCCAAATATTGTTAGTCCATATAGACCAATATCCTTACTCTCTTGTACCTTGTGTATTCAAAACCCTAGAAAGGTTTATAAAATTTAGATTAGATTGGTGGATACAAAAAGAGAATTTAATCCCAGTAAACCAGTTTGGCTACAAAAGAGGTTTTGGAACTCTTTACGCTTTAACATTTGTTGTAGACGTACAGAATAACTTAACTAAGAATAACAATTTAACAGCCTTATTCTTGGATATTGCAGTAGCATATGAAGGAGCAGATGACTTTTTTGTCTATACAGAGAGTAAGAAATATGAAAACGGTATGCAATACTTAAGCAGAGTATGTAGTTCTCTTTTCCCAAGATACTTAGAAAACGACTTACATGTATCAATAGCCAAATCAGCAGAATCTGTCTTTACAAGACACAACTTTTCTCCAAAATTGATAATCTCAGTAAAATTCAGCTTGTTCTTATTATTTTTAAAGTTCAAGTCTCTGACGACTGGACTAATAGTTCTGAAACAATTTTTTTTACTACTATATCAGTTGACAATCAAAAAGTCTAAAAGTGAGCTACAAAGGACCATCTACAATTAAAATACATATTGGTATTACTTACCAGATTGCAGGCACTTTCTGGGTAGAACTTACAAGGCCTCAAAAACCTTACAAGCCAAAGGTCGTTTTCTAAAGGCACTTTAAGGTCTTTTTCCTCTGCAACAAAATAAATACATTTAATAAATCATATCTTAATAAAAAGGGTTATGTGAGCCGTTTAAAAGCCTTATTAAAGGTTTTTTTTACTTTTACCATGAAATTGTTTAAGTATAGACATTTGGTTTCCATAATTTTATGATTATGATTATGATTTATGTATACATTCAACATACTTTCTCTTGTTTTTATGATGCCTTCTTACTAGGTTGGTAATTTTATTGGATTCAATCGTACGACGAATATCAGCTTTAAGGTTAATCTTATTTAAGCCCTTATTAAGGTTTATGTCCTATGTAGTACTATTTGCTACATATCTAGCTTTTAACCATGGATTTTACCTTACGCGTCTATTTGTTTTATAGCACTTTTTCTTTTAAATATCAAGTGAACGATTTGCTAAAACGCTTGAGTCTGATGAGATCACAAAGGTACTGCAAAGTTGTAGCCTTGATTAATAATAAAGTTACTGATTTCTCTCATTCATCTAAGAATATTTTGTGTTCTATTCAGGACTTTTTCAATAATAAAAAAAAAAGTAAATATATGGAGAAGACAGTGTTGGGAGGTCATGAAACAGGCTGGCTTTAGATCCACTGTTGATTGTGGTCACAGATCTATTGTGGTCCTCTAATCTTAGATTACATTCTCTAGCCTGACCCCTTTTAAAACGTCTAATAGCTTTTAAACTAAACCTTTCATGTAGCTGATTGCCAGTGAATTTTCTTCGACTAATGTAACGAACTGCATATTTTCTAGGCTATGGCACTGACACAAAATGTGCTCTGCTATTTCTTCCTCTAGGAGTAATAGATCCATCATCTGCCAATTCCATCAGTTTCGACTGCATATTCAGCTACAGTACCCTGTTAACAGACCTACTATGGCTTTGACTGTTGGTTTATCTTTGCTTATTAGATCTGCTGAAAATGTTGACAAATGTCCTGTAATGAACTGTTATGCCCGTCTTTGCCCTGGTGAATTCCTCCACCATTCCAGAGATTTATGTGCGACATACTTTCTTGTTTTGTTCTTGTTACTGCCTTTTCAACGCCGCAAAAGTGTTCCCTTGCAAAGAATGACATTAATGAGCCTTGTTTGACCATTTAATCTGCTTTTTTATTGCCTTTAGTGATCCAAGTGATCCATAAATCGTAGAGATTTATCAAATTGCTCAGATTATTGTAAAAGTATTAAAAAATTAAGATTTATTATACATCAATAATAGTCCTCGATAAAGACGTATAAAATTTTCCTTGTAGGATCAATCATTTTTTCACTATGGTCCATTAGTAGAATGAGTTTTTAATGATTGTTGTTTAGAGTTTCAAATGTGTTCTTGAAATAACAACTTAAACGATTATTGATAGCAATGAATTTTTTATTTAAAAAAAATATTTTTTTTTCGTCTTCTATATTTTTTAGGACTGTTTTCGCCATATTTTCTCCTTATGTGTCGTGCTTAGTCTATTAATTTTTGGACATAGATCTCTCGTTATCTCTATTCACTATTGTGTTATTGTTATCTAAAACTGACTATCGAATTGAATACACGATACAGTCATCCAGTTCAACTGTTCTAAATGCAAGTGGCATATGAACCCTTAGATATATAACTCAAGTTTGATTAAAGAGATGCTTAGAATAATTGTTGGATAGAAAATAGGGGATATTTAGTGAACGAAAATAAATAACGAAGTTATGGAAAATTTATAGAGAACCAACAACAACCAGTGACTAAGATGGCTGAACTAAATAGTTAGAATACATGCTGATAGATTCCCAAAACTGTTAAGAAACCAAGAATTAAAAGATTCTTTTGTTTATGTTCCTACAATCGCGAACATATTATCTGTGTATTCCATCTCACCCAATATATAGTATCAGGTTCAAGGGAAAATACCAAAAAATCACCCTCATAAATATTCACGGGCCTTCAGAAGAAAAAGATAATGATGTCAAAGAATGTTTCTACAGTGAATTAAATAGAACAATCGAAAATATACCCAGATATGATATGAAAATTATTTTAGGCGACGCAAATGCCAAAATAGGGAAGGAAGAAGTATTTAGACCGACAATAGGAAAATATAGTAAACACAATGAAACTAATGAGAACGGACAATTCCTGATAGATTTCGCAAGAGAAAAAAATATAATTATAATGAGCACATATTTCGAAAGAAAACAAATACACAAGGAAACATAGATATCGCCAGATAGAAAGACTAAAAACCAAATAGATTACGTGCTCATAGAAAAAGAAGAACAGCAATGTATAGAAGATAAGAACATACAGAGGACCAGACGCTGAATCAGATCATTACATGGTGGGCATCAAAATTAAGCATGATACCAGAAAACAAAAACAAAATTAAAAAAAAAGGAATGTATAAAAAAGGAACCCAATTCGATTAGTAACAAAGAAGGAGAAATTTACGAGAAAACAATGGAAAGAGAACTAAAAAAGATGCAAATAGAAGAGCAAACTGAGAACCAATGGGAAAACATAAAGCAAGTAATAAACAAAACAGCAAAAGAATGTAATAAACTAGAGAATAAAAAAAGAAAAGACTGTTTCAAAAAGAAATAGAACTAAAACAATCACTAAGAATGGAAATGATCACGAAAGAAATAACAGAGATAAAGAAGAGATATATGGAGTAAAGACAAAAAGTAAAGAGGGTGCTTAGAGAAAAGAAGAAAAAACACATAGAAAATAAGCTAAAAGAAATAGAAAAGAATTACAGAAATAAAAAAATAAAAAATCTATATCAAGGTGCTAGAAAGGAAAAAAGAGGTTTCCAAAAAAAACCATATTCCTTTAAAACAAAGCAGGAAATAATATAAGCGGTGAAGCAGACATAGTCGAAAGATGGAAAGAGTATTTTGATGAACTACTTAATGGCAATAATAAATCAAACCAAAGATAATTTATGGAAGCTCCTCATTGACCAGTTTTTTTTAAGTTAGATGTTAAAACATCTGAAAACCTATGTAACTATGGATTTCCTATAGTCGTAATAATAAAGTTCTTCTTCTTACGGTGCCTATCCGTTCCGGATGTTGGCGATCAACATGGCTATCCTAACTTTGCTAGCTGCTATTCTTGCCCTGAAGAATGAGTTGCAACAAGCCGTATCTCTGTTCATTCCTCATAACATGACCAAGATATTCTAGTTTGCGCTCTTTGATGGTGTTAATAATCTCGCATTCCTTGCCTATTCTTCGTAGGACCTCAACATTAGTCACACGATCCACCCATGAAATTCTTAAAATACGTCTGTAATACCACATCTCGAATGCCTCGAGTTTTTTTAAAGAAGCTTCGGAAAGTGTCCAGGCCTCTACTCTGTATAACAACGTAGAAAATACAAAGCATCCAATGAGAGAGATTTTGGTAGAAAGTGGTAAATCGTGACTTCTGAAAAGAAACTTCATCATTATGAACGCTGATCTCGCTTTTCCTATGCGTTGTTTTATTTTACTGGAGTGATCCCATTGGCTGTTAATGTTGGTACCAAGGTATGTGTAGCTGTCCACTCTGTCAATTGGATGTTAACCAAAAGCTGTGTATTTAATATTTCGCGCTTACTGACTACCATGTACTTTGTTTTCTTCGTATTAAGATCAAGTCCGTGTTCTCTACTTATATCTGATATACGCGACATTATTCTTTGCAAACCGTCCAGACTATCTGCAAAAACTACTGCGTCGTCGGCATATCTAATGTTGTTTAGACGCATTCCGTTGACTAATATGCCTTCTTGTAGTTCTCCCAGCGCTTGCTCGAAGATATATTCAGAGTATATATTAAATAACACCGGGGACAGAATGCATACTTGCCTCACTTCTCTATCTATGGAGACTGCCTCTGTCAATTGGTCATCCACTTTAATATTGGATGTTTGGTTGTAATATAAATTATAGATGATTCTCAAGTCCCTATCATCTAACCCCACTTCTTTCAAGATGTTTATAGGTTTATCATGCTTTACTCTATCTATAATAAAGTAAGTTTGCGTTTACTTTTTTTTTAATTATTATTTCAATTCGTGAATGACTATAAACTACAAAATTACGTCATTAATAACTCCAGACTCACCTCTTAATAGATCCCTTAGAGCTACTATAGCTTCCTTTTTCACCTCAGGGGTCTCCCTAAGTTCCTTCCTGGCGATTTCTTGAACTTCTGGCTTGAGGTCATCTAATTCTATCTGGAGAGTGTAGTTACCCAATTTGATGGTGGGAAGCTGGTCCATATCGGACAACATGGTTGCTGCAACTGTAATAGAAAAACAACATTAACTTTTTGAACCACAAATTTTTCGTGAATAGAACAAGTTTTTTAAAATTTTAATTGTTTTAGTTAAACACTTCCATTATAAAAAAGGACAAGTCAAGATGAGTTAACTGATGTCTTCTGAATAATGCAGATGCAGGTGTAGTTTCGAGTAGGTGCTTTTGTGTTCCATGAAAGTATTTCTTTTAACATCGACATTGTGTCGTTTCGATTTATAATTTTAAACCTAAAAAAAGTGGCACAGTACGAGGTACTGTAGACTAGCATGAAGCCTCATGGTATGTTTTCTGTATTACTGTTTACTAGGACTGGGAACCACGAACCGCTATTTCGTGGCGCTACTTCCGTAAGGCCCGCATCAAAATTTTAGTATAGAGAAAAAATACATACGGCAGTTTAAAAGCTTCGCTTCAAAATATAATTTAAATATCTTCACTGTATTGAAGTATTTTGTGACTGTTTTGAGGTTATTAATCAAGTACTTTTAAGTTCACTGATGAGGGTTTGATAGGACCTAAAAAGGATCCGTTTGGATTTTTTAACATATTAAAAACAGATTGAACTCCACTATAAAGTTGCTTTGTTTTTTTTTAATTCCAGAAAATATAGTAATTAAGAAAAGAAAAAAGCTTTTTCTTTGGTTAGAATTTAGTTATTTTGTGTAGCTCTTCTTAAATAAATTGTAAAAGGCAAAATAATTACAAAAATTATAATATACATATACAAATTACACCTCCACAATTTTTACGATCATTCAATAAATAAACGCTGATAATTAAATTAAATATTGTAAGTACTAACATAACCAATAAAAAAAATTATGTCGGCATGTAAGTTCAAGGTATTCCAGTAACGATGTACAGGTTTTTTATAATAATTAAAAAATATTGGAGATCATAATTTGAGAGGCTGATTGCGCAGCCTTGGTATTTGTCTGGTGGATGAAATATTTTTTGCAAACACGAGCTCCTTAATCATATTTGCCAAGGAAAACAGTTGTTTGTAAAAGGGTAATTAAAATCAAAAGTAATTAGTTAATTAGATGTATTATAGTGTGTTTTTTTATATACTTTTTTTGTTAAAGTTGCCACATAATTTCTTGTTAGCGTGTTAATTATATCACACGGTGTCCGAAAAGCTTTGATACTTTCAATTATTTTGTGGGCTATAAAATATAGGTTAACATTCTTAGTAGACACGATAGATAGAAGTTCTAATACTGTAAATATATTTAGTGAAATATAAAAGTGAAGAAAAAAGAAATAATGAAAATTAAAAAGGATTATACAGCATAAAACATTGTTGCGTAATCAGAGAAAAGTTTACTGTTTATATCAAGTGTTCTTCTTTATTTTTTCACTACAGTTGCTTTCTTCCGATCCAGCGTTTTCCTTCGATTTTGCCCTGAATGATCAACGGGAGTAAGCGATATTTAGGTCTCTAATTATATGGCCGAATTATTCTACCTTTCTTATTTTGATAATGTTGATCAATTCTCGCTCTTTGTGCATGGTCCCTAATAGCATGTTCGTTAAATATGTGTGCTGTCCACAGAATTCTCGGCATGCGACGGTAACACCACAACTGGAACACTTAAGTTCCTTTATCACAACTTTATCATCAACTGTAGATCAGCTGAAATTATCATTTTTTTTTTCTATTTAAATATAAGCATTAACGTTGTTGTGGATCTGACATCCTCTTAAAAGATACGACAAGATAACAAGATTTTTTTAAGGATTTGCTGATAATCTTTATTTGTACTGCAATTTCTTTTTGTTTGGAGAGATTTAATAATACTTATTTTTTACTGCTTTTCACTTATTCGCTACTGCATTTTGATTTCAGAAGTAAAAACTGGTGCGGGTGACGGTTTTTTTGCATGTAATAGTTAGGGTATGTATCTGTACCCTATATGTATGTATCTGTACCTGTATGTTAGTTTGTTTGTCCTTGTGTAGTGTATTGTAATGTCTCATTTTATGTTTATGATATTCTACTCTTATCGGATAGGCCGCAATTGACGAAATGCCCCTGAAGATGATCTAGTGATCGAAAGTACTTGGGCAAGATTAAATTAATACTATGCTCGATATTTGCCTTTTATATTATCAAAAAGTTTATTTATTCGAGCATTCAACCTTATATTAATATTCATTAATGGACCAGACAACTGGACCAGACAACATCTCAGCTGAACTCTTAAAACCATACAAAATGACCACATCAGTGCTTTCGATAAGATTTTTAATGAATGTATACTACTACAGCAATAACTGAGAAATGACTTTTTATACCAATTCCGAAGAAGCAACGGACAAAAAGATGCGACAATTACAGGTTGATTAACCTAATACATCCCGAAAAAGATCTAGATGAAACCCAGTTTGGATTTAGGAATGTGCTGGTTACCCGTGAGGTACTTTATGGCTTGAATGTGACTTTCATCGATGAGGAAAAGGCATTCAATAAGGTACAGCTTTTAAACATTAAGAACCAAAGGCATTGATAGTAGAGACCTACCTATCATAGAAAACTTGACACCATATAGTTATTGGATTGCGTAAATATGACAGGAAGAGAAATGGGCCTAAAAGTGAATGCTTCTAAGACAAAATTTATGATATTTAGTCGCCAAACTCATGACAATGCTTCTCTACAGATAGATCGACAAAACATTGGAAGAGTTACTCACTTTAAATATCTGGTGTGCTACATGGCAGAACACAACAAGCGAAGAAATTAAAAGAAGAATAAATCTTACAAATAGGGCATACTATGGACTCCAAAAGCATTTACACTCAAAAAACATTCAAAGAAGAACAAAAATTATTATATACAAAACATTGCCGAGGCCGGTACTCACATATGGAGCAGAAACATGGACTCTAACGCAGAAAGTTAAAAGACTTTTGGGAATATTTGAACGTAAAATACTCCCCAAAATATTTGGAGCTATAAACGATCAAGGGCAGTGGCGCAGAAGATATAGTTTTGAATTGTATCAGCTCTTTGATGAGCCAGATGTTATAACGTTCGTTAAAACACATCGACTTAGATGGGCTGGACACATAATATGAATGCCAGAAAATACGATTGCTAAAAAGCTAACCACAGGAACACCTGTAAGAAGAAGAAGCAAAGGCCGACCGCGAATTAGGTGTAGTTGAAACTGACTTACGGATATTAAAAGATGGCAACATGTTGCCAGAAACCGAACAGAATGGCGACGAATCTTAGAGCAGGCCAAGATCCACAGAGAATTGTCGAGCCAAAGATGATAATGAGGACATGGCAGAACAACTAGATACAAGTAAAGAGATCCAATGCAAAATTGAGGCAGCTCGATCAACATTTCAAAAAATGCAATCATCCTTCTGTAATCGCAGCTTATACCCAAAATTACTTCAATGAATAATGAAATGCTATATTTTGTCAGTGTCGATACAATGCACCAAGAAGTGGACTCTGAAGACTGATACGATCAATCGCCTAGAGACGATTGAGATGTGATTGCATAGAAGAAGGCTCCAAATACCCTGGATAGCGATGCAGACCAACGAAACTGTGTTAAATAGCACAAAAATATCGGTGAAGTTATTAATTTTTTTTATATCTAGGGCATGTTTTTGGAGGAGACCAGTACAGAATCCTTCAGCTTATCAAGAAAGGTAAAATCGAGGGCCATATCAGAATTGGTAGGAAGCAAATGTCATGATCTGAGAACAATTTGATATTTCTGTTTAACATTATATCTGAGGTGAAGGTTTAGGGCTTCATCTTAAATATATGGGTTTTGGTACTTATATAAACGTTTATAAAGGATTATTTTACCTTTGTATGGTTTATTCGTTAATAGTTATTGATTAGTTCTCTAAATACTAATTATAATCATTCAAAAATAATATCAAATACATTTTTTTTTTAATTTAGTTTATCAGTTCGACACATAAATCCAAATTTTCCACATCATCGCATAAATTCACCACAGATATTTTTAATACCGAGTGAATTGTATGATTGATTGATTGAACGATATCACAAATCACTGTTTTTAAATTGATTATCTTGTTAAGATTACGGATAATGCATATACATATATACAAAAAAAAACCATATATACATGATCTGTTCATGTCTTGATCATGATCATTCTTCAGATGATGTCCATTTTAGTTTTTGATCTAATGATTTATAATTTGATTTTATTATAAAGCTTTCTGGCAAAGGTTTATTGTGAGTTTGTAGATATTTTGTTCTCTAGTATTGTAACTACTAAATTGCATATGTTTGGAAAATATATTAAAAAAACAGCCTAATAACTCCCTAGGCAAAAGGAAGAACATAAACAACACAACAGAATTACGGCAATGAAATCAACAAAGGAAACATTTTGAATCCGCCTAATTGCACTCTCAGAAATGTTGAACATTCAGATCACACTTGGCGGCAACGTGCATCCATTTAGCCCATGGCTCTACAGCTTAATTCTAATCCTGGCTTCCATTACCGAACCTCCCCATTCATTACGGTCTGTAGGTATGCGGTATTCTCCTCTACGATCTACTGTCAAAGAAATTTCTTGCGTTCTCATCTAAATCATCCACCCATCGCTTTTTCGGTCTTCCAATAGGTCTTCCTCATTTAACAGTTTTTTTGAAAGCCTGCTTTCCTAAACACACGGCCTGCACATTGAAAACGATGTAGGCAGAAATACTAAGATAAAGGCAGCAAAGTTACCAACCTCTAAACAATCTCACAGTGATTCAACGTTTTTTGACCTAATATTAATTTATTAATTCTAATGTAAATTCCATTCAAAAATTCGATGGTGGATGTTTTTTTGAAGATTTAATCTATTTGACGTCGAGATGTTTTATCACGGCTGTCTTCGACATTTCAAAAAGTACAATCTAGACCTGCAGAATGTGAAGGCATCTCATCCAAATAAATATAGGATCAATGCTCCACGCTGGCAATAG